ATTTACATTTTGAAATAATCCTTTAAAAATCTTCAAATTAAGACAAAAGTTTCTAAATAAAAGAACATATAGAATCCTAACCTTGGTTACTTCCAAGCAGTCATGAATTATTTGTCATTTATGGACAGTTTATGAAACATATTTGTTAACAAAACCAAATAGTCTTTTTTCATAGAATTTAAGATGCTCAGAATAGTTTACATGTAGAAGCATTTATCCCATTTACCTTTACCCTATTTATACATTGCAACTATTCCTAGATATTTTAAGAAACTAAAATGTCAGACAAGCATAGTTATAATTTCAAATAATTTTCCTGTCAAGGAAAACTCTAAAGGCTGCATGAATACATGTAACAAAATGAATACCAACAAATAACCAACAAGAATAAATATAGCATTTCTTGACCAGCAAACACAGGCACAAATGTATATGAACAGCTTCAAAACTATCTTTATCCTTTTCTTTTTAAACAAATTTAAAGCAGATTATCTATTAAAGATTCACCTAAGTTATGTGAACTAAGTTAGGTGAATTAACGTTATTTTTCTGAACCTCTGTGTACTGGCTCACTTTGGTATAGCAGCATAAAAGCTTGCGTATATGGAATTTTCGTTTTCTTTTCTTTTCATAAAACAGCTCTAGCTAGAAAACGGCGACATAAACCAGAGATCTATTAAGTGGCTGTTTCTCATTCAATCTCGAGGAGTACTGAGGCGAAGCAGTGTTACAGTAAAACATCATCTTTTTCTTTCATAGGTATAAACCAAAATTTCTTAATTTTGCAAAGGGCACCCTAGGGGGCTATGAGACTAGAGTGGACCTGTTGAACCAAGTTACAAAGCAAATTTGGCAAGTTACAAAGCAATTTCTCAAGGTCATGATCTCTTCAGCTCCAAAAATTCAGAGGTCCTAAAAAAAAAAAAAAAAAAAACCGCTGGCGCTGCGGCTCAATAGGCTAATCCTCCGCCTGCGGTGCTGGCACCCCGGGTTCTAGTCCCGGTCGGGGCACTGGATTCTGTCCCGGTTGCTCCTCTTCCAGTCCAGCTCTCTGCTGTGGCCCGGGAGGGCAGTGGAGGATGGCCCAAGTGCTTGGGCCCTGCACGCGCATGGGAGACCAGGAGAAGCACCTGGCTCCTGGCTTCGGATCAGCAGTGCACTGGCCACAGCGGTCATTAGTGGGTGAACCAACGACAAAAGGAAGACCTTTCTCTCTCTCTCTCTCACTGTCCACTCTGCCTGTAAAAAAAAAAAAAAAGTAATGTCCACTCACAGATGAACCAGATTCTCAAGGCACTGTTCTCTCTAGCTCCAAGAAGGGAGAAAATCCTTTAAACTCAATGTGCAGTCGCGGCTGAAGCACATTAGCACTTGAGCTATTTACCCTGGAACACAAGAGATACCACCTTGGTATCATCATGCATGAGATTGCTCTGCATCAGTGACATCTCTCTAGATCTTAAGTTGAATTTAAGTCTTGGTTCTTCCAACCAACAAGTGCTTCAAGCCAATGATGCCTAGTCAACAGTCAGCTACTTGGGGATGTTTCTGATACAAACAGATGTTCAGGCAGCTGCAAGACAGATCCCAAGGGTGACCGTGGGCCAGGGGCTGTTCTGCCATGGGCTAGAAGCCCATTCACAATTGTAGTCCCTTCATACTTGCCAATTGTTGCTGAAAAATATTCCAAACTAGTTGGAGGAGTTGCTATAGAACCCCCAAAACTGTGTCCATTCCCCCGACAGGCAGAAAGCCAATCACTGACATTGGAGTAGTGGAATAAAAGTAGATGTTTACTGCAAAGCACAGAACAAGGAGTTGGGCAGCTATTGCTTAATTTCCAGGGCTCCTGGAAGAGTTAGGGGGAAGGATTCTTATAGACTGAAATTGGGATTCAGAAGTGTTGTGACCAGCTCATGTCCAAGTTCCTTGTTGGTCAGTGGTGCTCATGACCTTCCTTTGACTGGTCAGCAATGCCATGCTTTTCAGGGAATTACAACGGCCAGGTGGGCTCTAGTTGGTCTCAGGGGTGGGGTTACATGTAAGTGGTAGTTACCTCATGCCCCAAACCTGGAAATTCCCCAAATTTCTCTAAATAAACCTCTCCTGATAATGCTGGCCATCAAGGTTTTTATCTATTGGAGAAGCAAGTTTCTTGAGTCTGGTGATTAGAACCTTGTAGGGTCAGCTGTACAACACTCTCAAGTCAGTGAATTACTTTGATAAGGGACAGGCAAGGACACGCTGGCCTAAGGGAGATGACAGCAGGCTGGGTCTTACTTTTACATGATAGGGGTTTGAGCTGAACAGGGCTCTGGACGGCCTTGCTCCCAGGTGCTGAGGGAGCACCCTGGAGAGACACCCCACCCCTGTGCTCAAGAGCATCGCTGGAGGCTCATTGTCCCATTTGTCCCTGCCAGGCAGGGATGGGCCACTTCAGGAAGGAAGATGATTTCTGACTTGCTTCACTGACCGCACCCTAGACAACAAATCAGATGGCTTTGGTCTTACTTGGAAAAGAGAATCAGGCATAATGACTCAGACCGGCTCTGCTCGGCACTAGCTCGGAGAGACAGTGTATGCAAAGATACATTGAAAGTTCATGGAAAGGTGGGTGCCGCGGCTCAATAGGCTAATCCTCTGCCTGTGGCACTGGCACCCCGGGTTCTAGTCCCGGTCAGGGCGCTGGATTCTGTCCCAGTTGCTCTTCTTCCAGGCCAGCTCTCTGCTGTGGCCTGGGAGGGCAGCAGAGGATGGCCCAAGTGCTTGGGTCCCTGCACCTGCATGGGAGACCAGGAGGAAGTACCCAGCTCCTGGTTTTGGATCGGTGCAGTGCCAGCCGTAGCGGCCATTAGGGGAGTGAACCAATGGAAGGAAGACCTCTCTCACTGTCTATAACTCTCTCTCTGTCTCTCTCTCTCTCACTGTCTAACTCTGCCTGGCCAAAAAAAAAAAAAAAAAAAAAAAAAGAAAAGAAAAAAAAAGAAAGTTCGTGGAAAAAAGTTCATTCAAAGATGCTTATTTGGGTGCAAAATTTTTGAAATCCATGTATAGTTTTTCATGATATGCATTTCTCATGAATCTTTTGAAGACCACCACCACACCCCCGCATGTGAAAGCCCTCAGCATAGAGCCTGGCATTGAAAAAGTATTTAATGAATGGTGGCTGCTGGTCTTATCATTTTTCATATGGAAATCCTTGGGAGGTAACCAAAGTGGTAAATTGGAACGTTTACAAAAATAAACATCTAGAGACCTAGATTCTGGGTCTAATTATTACCGTTCAACTTGGGATGCTGTGTAATTCATTCTTTTCATCTCATTGGACCTCTCTGATTTTCTCATCTGGGAATAGTAGTGGTTGCCCTATTTTTGTAATATGTCTGATTAGTCTTTAAAGCACACATACTTCTTGACCTTGCAATTTGATTCCTATGAATTTTTTAGTGTTATATGCAAAGACGCTAGGTGCTAATAGGGAAAAAAAATAAAAATAACAGAAACGTCTAATAGCTAATAGTAAAAGAAATCTTGCCGTTATAAGAGAGACTGCAACACAGTCACAGGACAATGATGCAGGTCTGTGTTTTGATTGACATGGGAGTGGCTTTTAAAAATGATAGGAGATTGGGGCTGGCGCTGTGGCCTAGCAGGTAAAGCCTCCACCTGCAGTGCTGGCATCCCATATGGATGCTGGTTCAAGTCCCGGCTGCTCCACTTCTGATCCAGCTCTCTGCTGTGGCCTGGGAAAGCACTAGAATATGGCCCAAGTCCTTGGGCCTCTGCACCCACTCTGGCCATTGCAGCCAACTAGGGTGTGAACCAGCTGATGGAAGACCTGTCTCTCCCTCCTTGCTTCTCCTTCTCTCTCTGTTAACTCTGACTTTCAAATAAATAAATAAATCTTTTAAAAAAAAGATAGGAAGCTACAAAAGTATAGATCTAGGTATAGTGATTCTATTTTGTAAAAAGCATTTCTGTTGTCTTCTATAGGACATCAAAATGTTGGCAATGATTAGCTCTGTCTGGGAGTATTATGAGAATCTCTGTTTTCTTTCCTCTACTTTCTGAATCCTTCTCAACAGTATCTAGTATTTTTCTGCTCAGATAAAATAGGAAAATGTATTTCTATCTGGAGAGAAAACCTAACCCCTGCACTCCATTCCACAGAAATAAAAGGGGAGGGAGGTGGGGCCCACCATACAGGAACCTCCTCAGTCCCACTTTTAAAGACCTGCTTTTGGCTCTGGCATTGTGTGCAGCAGGCTGAGTGCCTGCAACACCAGCATCCTATTTGAGCACCAGGTCTCCCACATGGGTGGTAGGGGTCCAAACACTTGGGCCATCTTCTGTTCCTTTTCTGAGGCCATTAGCAGGGAGCTGGATGGAAAGCAGAGCAGCCGGAACACCAAGCAGCGCCCATATGGGATGCCGGCATTTCCGGTGGCGGCCCAAGCCACTGCTATGCCAGGATGCTATAGCCCCAGTAAACATATGTTTCAAAAGAGGGAGGGGGAAGAGGGGGAGAGTGAGAGACCTGCTCTTTGAATCCAGAGTTGGAACCTAGAGCACACACGTTTGCTCTTGAACCTTAGAGTCAGCCATAGAAGTAGGGTAGGGCTGGGAACTTGTCAGAGATCCAAGCTGGGTAGAGGAGTCTGAGGGGCCTGTGGAAAGTACCAGGCTGATGTGTAGGTCTTTTTGGGCACTAGCTCACCAGGGCTGTGTTTATGAAGCTTACTTCCTGCTGGGCCTCAGGGCTGCTAGCCAGGGACACCTAATGGGCCTAACAGAGCCCCCTCCTTTCACCCTCCCCCCAAAGCTGGAATGTTCTGAATTCCTCCTTGGGCCAACCCTCACCCCCCCCCCCCAAGGCTTTTCCTGGGCTCACAGAGGTCACCACACAAAAGCCCAGCTGGAGTTTTTGACAGGAAAAACACAAAACTCACCAATTTTTTTTAAGTACCTCAATCCTTCCCAGCCTCCAGGGGTTTAATTTTCATCTGGAGTAAGGCTCAGATTTGCAGATGGATTTGCCAAGCTGTGGTTAACCATCAGAAATCCTCTATCACCTCAGCCTGTGGCCTTTAGTCGGCACTGCCTTCCTTCTCCAGGGCATCTCCTCCTTCAAGGCTCTGCTAAGGAACTGCTCTGTAAGTCCATTCATATCTGGGTTCTCCCTTTGCAGCTCACCTAGGTGCGTGATTTTTTCCTTCCTAGTTGCTGCCAATTCAGCCCACGGTTGGAATCAGCCTGGGCCACGTTGGGTTTCTGCATCGGGAGTGACGGGTGGGAAACTGGAAGGGCCCTAGGATTGGTCATATCTGTCTTCAGATCGATCACAAAGGTTCCAGTCTTTGAAACCGCAGGGCCAGAAGCACCTGTCCTGCTCAGTCGCATCATTTCTGGCTGGAGCTTTTTAGAGGGCAAAAGGCCTGGGAGAAAAAATTGGAGGAAGGGAGCTCCAGTGTCCGCCTCTGCCCAGCTGTGGAGGTGCTAAGGAGGACTGCAGGCGCCAGTGCTCTCCCTGGGGAATGAAGGCTCGGGGAGGCAGCAGAAGCTGGGTTCCCCAGTGAAGCCATCAAGTCTCCCCCTGAGGCTCTTCAGCCGCTCTCCCCCACTGCTCTGCAAGCCTGTCATTAGAAACTGTTGGTTTCCACTCAGGTATTGTTCTCTTCAAGCGTCAGAGCCCAAACATTGACAGTGCTTCTAGCAGGGGAGTTTGCAAGTGCTTTTTATTTTCTAAATTATGCCTCTATGTGTTTCCCAGTGTTCTAAAATGAGAATGCTTTACCTTGGTGATCAGGACAAAAACAAACTTAAAAACAAATAACAATTAGAGATTTTCTCAGTCCAATTGAAATTCCCTGAGCCATCATCAATCAACTGCTGCAGAAGGAAAGATAAACTGCTTCAAGGACAGACTTTCTAGAAAGTAGAGCCTGAAGGAAATGACTTATCCAGCTCCCAGAGCCCTGGGAACTGGGGGTGAGGTGCTGAGAGGGCTGCAAGTGTCTGAGGGTCTTGGGGATGAAGGGCTGGAGACATGAGGCTGACTGACAGGAGAGGGTTGTAGTGGTAGCCTCCCTCACCCCCCAGAAAGCCACATCAGGTCCTTTCTTGAGTGTGAAACCCCCGAGCATTCTGTCCCATGCATTCTTATGAGGATCCTCCCCCCACAAAGGAGATATACCATGTATAAGACTCTTGGAGCAGGAGATAGAAAGAAAAGCAGGGCAAGTGATCAGGTAAGGAGGGGTTAATTCAAGAGCTACTGTCAGTCTTGACCCTCCTAATCCTCTCCTGCAGTTTCAATCCCTCCCCTAAGGAAGATTAGGTAAGGATTCTAAGTGAAAACTTGTCACCCAGCCCTTGGGCCATGGAATATGTTGGCCCCATGCCCAGAAGACAAATTCAGTTGGCAAAGCTTAGAGCTCTCTGTGCCTCCAGAGCAGCCAGCACTTGCCTTCTAGGATGATTCCCACAAAGAGGTTTCCTTCGCTATTTGTCAAAACGGCTGCATGTTCCCATGATTTTATTTGAGACCCAAAACCTTGGAGATGAGCAAACTAGGGCTGAGAGAAGTTTGGGAACTTCCTCAACAGTTTCCAGAGAGAACTGAGACAACAAGCTAGGTCTTTTGATTGTAAGGCCAAGTTTTATCTAAACTGTCTTCCTTTACCTCTGCTTCTCATCAAACACAAAGCAGAATCTATGGGGTTTACTACCGAACTACTTGTTATTTGGCCTACCTTGTCCTCCTGCCTGTGGCTGAAAGCTCATTTCCATGGGGTGACTTCTTCTAATGGAATAAGATCCAATAATTTGGCCTTCCTCCCGCCCAGATAAGCCAATCTGGACTCTCTAGAGATGCTAAGCCTTGGTAATGCATTTTATTGACTCTGCCTTCCTCTTGCTCCCAAATTCTTTCCTAGTTACTCCTAATGAGCTAAGACTGGCTCTGGGGAGACACTCTCTTCTGGGACACTGTTGATTCCAGTGAATCACTCAAGCTTAGTTCTGCTAAAGCAAGAGCTGCTCCACCAGGAGGCAGTCGGTCTTCCCCCCAAAAGCCTCAAGGTAACTCACCATGCCTCACTGTAGAGGAGCCCGGATGTAGACAGAAGGTACAAAGGGAAAGCATTTAATCTGTCCTGGCTGGGAAGGAGATGAGGCTCCAAGGACGATGTCAATGAGAAGACGAATTCTGAAGGATGATTAGCAAATTACTCAAGCAGGTGGCATACAGTAGAATAGCATGCATAAAGGTTTATAGATGGAGAACAAGGGAAATTCAGAGGAACAGAAGTGCTTAGTATGGCTGGATCATGTATTTTTTAAAAAGCCCAAACATTAACAGTGCTTCTAGCTGGGGAGTTTGCAGGTGATTTTTATTTTCTAAACTATGCCTCTCTGTGTTTTCCAATGTTCTAAAATGAGAATGCTTTACCTTGGTGATCTTTCCAGTATTTATTTATTTATTTGAAAGGCAGAGCTACAGAGAGGCAGAGGCAGAGGGAGAGAGATTCTTCCTCTCTGCTCCCACTGGTTCACTCCCCAGATGGTTGCAACAGCCAGAGCTGGGCCGATCTGAAGCCAGGAGCCAGGAGCTTCTTCCTGGTCCCCATGTGGCTGCAGGAGCCCAAGAAAGCAGCCCTTTGCTGCTTTCCCAGGCCATTAGCAGAGAGCTGGATCAGAAGTGGAGCAGCCGAGCCTCAAACCAATGCCCATATGGGATGCCGGCACTGCAGGTGGCGGCCTTACCCACTATGCCACAGCTCCAGCCTCCATGTATTTGTTTAAGAGCATAAAAGATAAGATTGGGGGTGAATGGTGACAAACGAGGCTATGAAACACAAGGGATCAGATAAAACCAGGAGGGCTTTCCTGGTTTCCTGGGTTAGGGAGTTTGAACTTCAATCCTGTAAGAAATTAAACATGCCAAATGTGAATTGACAGTCATAGTATGATTTCAACTTTAGAAAGATCCTTGATGACTGGATGAATAGTTAATTGATTGCAGGGGCAGGACAGAAGTGAAATTAGAAAGACCAATTTGGATCGCCTATGAGATACAAATGGACAAGAGATGATGGTTTGGTTGCATGGTTTGAACTAACATTTTGAAGGGGGGAGATAGGAAGAAGTGGATGGTTTCATGATATATTTTAAAGGTAGTCTGACATGTAATAAATTATGATTAGATGTAAGAAATCAAAGATGGCTGGATTTGGTTACTGGATACATAATGATTCTGTTGAGTTAAGGGCACTGTACAAAGAGTTTGAGGGTGGGAGAGAGAAAAGGGCAGAAGCTATAAAGATGTTGAATTTAAGGTACCATTAAAGCATTCAGATGGAGCCACTGAGAATGCAGTTGACTATACAAACCTTTAGTTCAGGAGAAAGGTATGTGGCAGAGGTATGGAATTAGGAGTCACTGGCTTACAGATGGAGTAGATGAAATCACCCATGGAGAACATGAAGACAAAGAAGAGCAGTGTAGGTGAGACCATGGGGATAGTGGGTTTAGAGTGGGCAGAAGAAGAGGAACTTACTAAGGAGACCTTGAAGAATCATTTTGAGGGGGCGAGGAAAACTGGGAGTGATGCTACAGAAAACAAGTGAGAGACTAGTTTTCGGAAGGAGAGGGACAAGGTTAGATGACAGCACTAAGACCATCGGGTTTTGGAACAAGGAAATAGTTGATAACCTTGGTGAGAACATTTTCAGGGGAGGACTAATGAACCAGGCCACCCTATAGAATGAGCAGTGAGAAGGAGGGTGCAAGGGTAGAGACATCAAAATTAAATGGATTCAGGTCTGTGGTGACAAAGAAAATCTTGAAGAGTATAATAATTGCTTAGGGAGGAGGTAGCGTAGGAGATCAAGAAGAGTGGTAAATAATTGTAGCAGCCACCAGGAGGATGCTCACCAGGGAGAAGTAGAAAGATTGTCAAGAAGCACTGAAAGCCTCAGGACAGGCACAAATGGGCCCAGGTTAGCAATTAGAAAGCCAGTGCTGGGAAAAGACTTGCTCAGTGTCACAGCTGTTAAGCGACTGAGTTGACATTCGAACTAGGTCTCCCTCCCCACCCTTTCATCAAATATTTATTGGCTCCTGTTCTGCCATCTCTAATGCTGATGGATAGAATCGACTATCGACCATGTGCCCAGTGCTCTGCGGGCACAACAGAAATTCAATATATGTTTTCTCACCTTCAGACTGTTTAGAATTTGGTTAAAGAGACAGGATGGTCAACATATGATACATACAAGTATCTATAGGAAACTCTGCTTTCTTTTTTTTAAAATTTTTTATTTATTTTTTTGACAGGCAGAGTGGATAGCGAGAGAGAGAGACAGAGAGAAAGGTCTTCCTTTGCTGTTGGTTCACCCTCCAATGGCAGCCATGGCCGGTGCGCTGCGGCCGGCGCACCGCGCTGATCCGATGGCAGGAGCCAGGTACTTATCCTGGTCTCCCATGGGGTGCAGGGCCCAAGGACTTTGGCCATCCTCCACTGCACTCCCTGGCCACAGCATAGAGCTGGCCTGGAAGAGGGGCAACCGGGACAGAATCCGGTGCCCCGACCGGGACTAGAACCTGGGGTGCCAGCACGGCAGGCAGAGGATTAGCCTAGTGAGCCGCGGCACCGGCCTGGAAACTCTGCTTTCTGTCTTTAGTTCTATGATGATGATGATGATGATAAGTAAACACAGATATTACAAGACCATAGAAGAAGAGCACTTGATCCAGGCTACAGACACAGACATCTGAGCTGAATCCTAAAGGATAAAACACTAAACAGAGGAAGAAGGCTGCAGGGCACTCAACATAAAACAGCCTGTGCTCAGATTTGGGAGCAAAAGCTCACAGGACATGACTGAGGATGTGAAAGCCATTTAATTCAGCAAAAGGGTAGCGTATGAGGAGGAAAATGGCAAGAGATGGAGCTTGAGAGAGCATGGAGCATAGACGTGTCCATTTAATCTTAAGCCACAGGGAAGCCATTGGAATGTTTTGTGTAGAGTAGTGACTTGATTGGATGAATACTGGATGATCACCTGGGCAAAAGCGTGCAGAATGAATTGGAGGAAGCAAGATTGGAAATAAGACCAGTTAAGGAGCTGTTGCTACAGTCCAGGTGAGGGAGAATGACAAAGCCCTGAACTAGGGAACTAAAAGCAAAGATGGAGAGAGGGGACCATGTATTTGAAATACATGCTTGAGGCAGAGCTGCTAGGACATGGTGATTCAGGAAGCAGGGGCCTCGTATAAGGAAGGTGTCAAGGACCACTCCTAGGATTTTAATCTGTTGCAAGGAAATGGATACAGGTATCTTTCAGTGACCATGGCAATCCCATGGAAGAACTCTTTGGGGAGAGTTGCAATGGAGGCGGTGACGTGTTCTCCTTGGGACATATTGAATTCTGGGTGCCTATGAGATTTCCATGTGGATATCTTGATGAGGTGATTGCTCTGCCAATCTTGAGGCTCTGGAGCATCTATGCTGGAAAGTCAGATTTGGGAGTTCCACTGGATGGACGGTAGATTAAACCAAGGTGGTGGATAAGTTTTCTCAGGGACAGACTGTTGCTTGAGAAAGGGATGGATTTCAGAGGGACATTTGCATTTAGGAGATGAGTAGGAAAAACGAAGTATTGAAGAAGGCTAAAGTGAATCAGGCAGATTGTGGAGGGGTGGGATATTAGTGGGCTGGAAGGTCTTGTAGAGGATGGGGAAAAGGGTGTACCCTTGACTCTTGGTGTCCTGAAACTTACCAAGAGTGATGGCTCCATGTATACTGCAAGATCCTGCCCAGCTCTGAGATCTGAAAGGATTGCTTGGATTCCTGCCTCTTATAAAGCTCTCTATCCTTTCCTCCATTTGCCTTAGTGCCCCGAACAGACAGCCCAGAGAATTTTAGGGCTTACTTGTAGGTCCTAGAATCACAATTGCTCCAGAGTCTTCCCCACATCATCTGAGAATCCGATGATGGGTATGTCAATTAGGGTTGATGGGGGCATCAATAGGAGATCAGATAGGAAATGTCTGGTGTGTCACACATGTAGTAGACCTGAGGCTAGCCTGTTGAGGGGGATTTGGTGAGGCTGAAAGAACCTGAACTCCCAGAATATGGAGATAAGGCTTTGCTGCCACCCAAATCTGCCCTTGAGTAGAATTTTCCCCACAAGCAGGATGATCCAGGGCCAGGCTGCTACTCTCTAGGCCCACGGAGAATGGGCCTCCCTGAAAAAGGCCATCAAGAAGCCTCTCAGGAGCTGTAGTCCAAGGCTACATTCTAACACCTGTTCCTCCTGATTCTGTCTCCTGGAGTTTGGCCTCAATCTGCAACTGAGGGGCCCAGGGGCGGTGTTGCTTGGTAATGTGTTTGTTAAACACCAAGCCTTGGAAACTAGCCGTGGAGTTAACACAGGCACCACAAACGCCACTGCCATAACCAGCCTTCTCGGAAATCAAGCCCTTGCCCAGCCCCTGGCTTTGTCTGTCTGCCAGCCTGAGACATGTGCCTACGCATGAGGCCATGACATTTTGGCTCTACCCTCAAAGATTTTTTTTTCTTTCCCTTTCTCATGTGTTATTTCTCAAGATAACAAAGGTCAAAAGGCATCCAGCATTTTCTGGTTTCTCATAAGCTTCTGGTCAATATTTAATCTGGTTTATGGATTTTTTTTAAGGTTTTCTAGATGCCTTCTTGAGTCTGCTTGTGGCCAACCGCAGACACTTGTAAGGAGCAGAGAAGTCGCCTGGCAGAGACACTCTGAAATGAGGGAATAGCGGCTGGTTTCCAAGGAGCAGGAGCTACAGCCAGAAGACGAGGGAGCAGGTCCTGAAAAACACTTCTCCTGAGAGGTCTGCCATGGCCTCTCTTGGCCTCCAACTTGTGGGCTACATCCTAGGCCTCCTGGGACTGTTGGGCACCATGATTGCCATGCTTCTCCCCAACTGGCGAACGAGCTCTTACGTCGGCGCCAGCATCGTGACAGCAGTTGGTTTCTCCAAAGGCCTCTGGATGGAGTGTGCCACACAGAGCACAGGCATCACCCAGTGTGACATCTACAACACCCTCCTAGGCCTACCCGCTGATATCCAGGCTGCTCAGGCCATGATGGTGACATCCAGTGCCTTCTCCTCACTGGCCTGCATTATCTCTGTGGTGGGCATGAGATGCACGATCTTCTGCAAGGAATCCCGAGCCAAAGACAGAGTGGCGATAGCAGGTGGAGTCTTCTTCATCCTTGGAGGTCTCCTGGGCTTCATCCCGGTTGCCTGGAATCTACATGGGATCCTTCGGGACTTCTACTCACCACTGGTGCCTGACAGCATGAAATTTGAGATCGGAGAGGCTCTTTACTTGGGCATTATTTCCTCTCTGTTCTCCCTGGTAGCTGGCATCATCCTCTGCTTCTCTTGCCCATCCCAGGGAAATCGCTCCAACTATGATGCCTACCAGGCCCAGCCCCTTGCCACTAGGAGCTCTCCAAGGCCTGGCCAACCTCCCAAAGTGAAGAATGAGTTCAACTCCTACAGCCTAACAGGGTATGTGTGAAGAATCAGGGGCCAGAGCTGGGGGGGGTGGCTGGGTCTGTGAAAACCACTGGACAAGTCTCTCCCCCTCCGGCCCCCGCAGGGCTACAGGTGAGGGACACTGCCACTGGATCATGTCGGAAGGTGCTGCTGAGGATAGACTGACTTTGGCCATTGGGTCGAGTGAAGGCAGAAGTGGGAAATGGTGTGACAGTAAAAGGGTTCAATTGTCAAGGATGCTCGTCAAGCCAGCCTTTCTGTTACCCTCACCTCGTTCCACTGCCCTGAGTTCCCAACCCTCAACTGCAAGCTCCAACCCCTACCTTTGGCCAGGTCTCAGAGGCTCTCCTTGTCTTTTGGTTTGCCTGGGAATCCATCCAAACCCTACCGCACTTCCCACTGACTGAACCCTCTCTGGGACCAAAGACCTTTCCTATGTGGCTGAGAATGGCTCTGAGCTCAATCCTGGGGGAGGAAGAGAAAAAGGAATGGTGGCTTTTATGCACATGGCTCTAAACTTCTTTTCCAGCCTCCCTCCAAAGAAACTGATTGGTCAGTAATGGGCCCTGAGCCTCCATTCTACCCCTCCAGTTCTGACTTCAAAGTGTCCAGACTGGTTGGTGCCTGAGCTGAAATAAAGCCATCCCACGGCACCCAGGGAATAGGAATCAATTGGGTGCAGAATGAGAAGAAGGGAAGGCAGCCTGGGGCTAAAATAAGATGAGAACCACTTCCCAGGGAATTTTCCCCAAATCCCCTCATACCCGCGGTTCGGGATTTGCGTCTGCAGCCAGAGGGAAGCATGAGGAAAGAAGAGCCGGTGGAAAGCTCAAAGCCGCGGCAGGCTGTGAGTCCCCTGAGGAGCTGCCTCACAAGCTGCGATCCCGACTTTCACTGAAGCCTCTGCCTCCCGCTGCGGTACCTGACCTGGCTTCCTGTCTAACCCACAAGGCTGAAGGCCTTGGACCATGATTTCCTTAGGGACTGTGAACCAGATTTTCTACAAATGGTCCTTGGCTGGGGTTAGGACGGTGTGGGAGTTGTGGGGGACTGAGGAAGAGGTATTCTATGCTAGCCAAGAAAGAATAAGAACTTCGGTATGTAATAAACTGGGCAGGCATGTGTGGTGACTCTAGTGAGGGTTTCTACTATGCCGGAAAGAGGTGGTCCCCCAGAGTCGTCAGGTCTAACGGAAAACCAGCTGCAAAGGCTGCAATCATGCCCCTCCTCCCAGGGTCTACCCACAGAGCACTACAGAGCTTCTGAAAGCCACAGCACCAGGCAAGTCCCTTGTCACCCTTCATACCCTCCCTCTCGTCCATGAGAAGATAGTCCAGGGTAGCTAGAGGGCACTTGAGGTGCCACCATAAAACATCCATGTCCAAGGTGCTGTGTCCATGACTCCAGTGATAAGTAAGCTGCTGCCTGGGCCTGCAGTGGGGGTGGGAGAGTGGAGAACGGTTCCCAGGCAGACAGTTCCACCTCCAAAGTCAGAAAATGCCCCATTTCCGCCGGAGTGGAAGTGGGGTAGTCATAAACCAAAGATGCTTTCCCTTAACCAGCCTGAGTCTAAGCGACTTCTGAAAAACCCCAGGACACCTCTGCACATCCCAGTGCCAGCTGCAGAGGTGCACTCACGGTCTCTAACAGGCCTCCGTGTTTCCACCTTCTTGCCTGATTCGAGCTGTTCTGCCAACCTGGAAGACCCTCGTCCCTTAGCCAAGACCTCCTCAAGCTTGGAGAACTTGCTCAGCACCACACCCTTCACTGAGCCTTCTCTGACCACTCCATCCCTCACCTACGCCTCCTTCCTTTAACCCTCAGCATATAAATTGCTTCTTGATGCTCATCATTAAACATTTTTGATTGATAGTTATCTTTGTGTGTGTGTGTGTGTGTGTGTGTGTGTCTCGACATCACCATTGTAAGCTTTTCGAGGGACCATATCTTAGACGTCTCTGTATCCGCCCAACTGTTTGTAACAGTGCTGAACACACAGTAGGTGATCAATAAATATGTTGATTGAGTCATTGTTTCATTGTTAAAAGGGACCCAGACAGGGATGATGTGACTAGAGGAAATTGGGCTAAGGGGTGGGAAAGGGAGACGCTGGCTTTTCTTCCCAAAGGGTGGATAGAAAATTCTGGACTTTATTGAAAACAACTGTGAATCACAGCAAGCTCCCTCCCCAAGGAACTGTAAACCTTTTCATCTTGCCTGGGACTCCTCCCTTTCAACACGACTATTTTATGTTATTTAGTAAATGGTTGTCCAATTGACCTGACCGTCTCCACTTGGAAGATAGGAGACAGTAAGAGCCACAGCAGCGAAGAGATTTTCCCAGGGCCACACAGCTGATGTTAGTGCCCCTGCCTCCTGGGTCTCCAAATGGGCTCCCGCTGACCCAACAATATCCACAGCTAACAGGAATAGCCTGCCAGAGGTCCCCAAACAGCCCAAGGCAACAGTGGGGACATGCAGGTTCTTTTGGTCTCCCATGAGGGCAATTGGGGAAAGCAGGGCCAATGCAGTGAGTGTGCCACCTGGACCTGCCCTCCTAGCATGCTGGCTTGCAGTTCCAAGTGTTCTAACTCTGGAGGTGTATGAGTGTGGGAGGGCACCGATTGGCTTCACTGGGGATTAACAAAGCCTAATTCATTAGGTTGTCAACCATGGCAACACTGACAATAACGCAGCCCTAAAGATTTAGTTTAACTAGCTGAATCCGGACAGGTGGGGTCTCAGCACATAGGAGGGAGCTTATTATACCAGACACTGCCTTTGCACTTCTGAAGTGGGCTTTCTTTGGTGCAGAGGCTAGAACCCCAGCATTGGAGCCCATTTAGAGGGAATGGCAGCTGAAAGGAACAAGGGAGAGATGGCTCTCCATACAGAAGCGTAGTAAGAGCTCAGGTCTCTGGTCTGGAAAGGTAAGCCCAGAGTCAGTGAATGGGCGGCCTAGAAGTTGCAGGGTGTGCTTGCCTTGCTGACTGCGCTGTGCTGAGTGGGCAGCATTTGGCATGGGCTCTCCACACCCACCATGTGGCAGCCAAAGCACTTTCAGATCCTCCAATTTCCTACACCCTCCAGTCACCTCAGTGAGGCAGATCTTTGAATAAGTCAAAGGGGAGCCCCAGAGAGCTCAGGAAAATACCTCGAGTTGCAGAGTATGACAGCCTGAACCTAAGTTTGGAAACTCCTCCCACAGCAACGCGAGCCTGGGATTGTGGTCTCACAAGGTGTATGAGGGCCGGCTGCTCCTTAAACTCCTTCAGCCTTCCTATCCCAGTCAGCCACTGGAATGTAAGGGTCTTGGAAGGAAAGAGGGCACAGAGATTCCCTCCACATTGACATGAGGATGGCCTGAAAAAGGGGGCGGCGGGGGACTCTCATACCATTATGAATCCGAGAATATTTAAGAAAATGTGGTGAGAAGTTCATCCTCAACCAGGAAAAAAACAAAAACAAAAACAAAAACAAAAACAAAAACAAAAACAAAAACAAAAAACAAGGCACACCTCACAGACAGTGACTGATCCTTTGGCAGGCTGAGAAAGCTTTGCTCTAGATCCCAAGAAATTTTCCTGAATGTGGGGTCCAAATGGACCTCCCCCTGTTGCCTTCTATCATAAAGTAATTTAGATTAGCCATAGACCTGGGAGTAGTGAACAACCTTGTGTTCATGCCCCTGCCTCAAGGCTCTGACCCTTGCACAAGAAAAGAGGTTTCTGCCTCCTGTCCTGCCTCTGATAATAGCGTGACTCATTCCCTGCCCCACCCCCAGACCAACTGCTATGTAATGGGGGTGAGGAGACAGACAAGTGGCTTCCTAGTGCAAAGGGAAGCTCCAGCTTGCTGAGAGACTCTCCGCCGGCCAGCCAAACATCCAGCCAGTCAGCCCTGGGTCAGGCGATGTGCTGAGGGTTCTGAGGGTGCCCAGAGTAAGCAAGGTAAAGTCTGGGCCTTGGAGGACCCAACAGCTGGTCCAGAGGACATAAGACATGCACACGGAACTGTGCTGCCGGCCCAGTATGGGCTGTGCCGTGAGCTAAGAAAGGAACAGAAGATAGAGCTGTCGGGGACTGTAAGTCTCCTGCAAGTGCAGTCCACAGGAAATGAGGGCCTGCCACCACTTGAGCTTCGGAAGGAAGGGCATCAAAAGAAACTGCTTCCTGTGGCTGAAGCACTATGGGACATTGAGAAATAGCATAGGGAGTAGTGCTAAGAGGCAGACAAGGATATATAGCTCGGTTAGCCCACTATAGTTTTTATTTTAAAGATTTATTTATTTATTTGAAAGTCAGAGTTACACCGAGAGAAGAGAAGAGGCAGAGAGAGAGAGAGAGAGAGAGGTCTTCCCTCTGCTGGTTCACTCCCCAACTGGCCGCAACAGCCGGAGCTGCGCTGATCCGAAGTCAGGAACCAGGAGCCAGGAGCCAGGAGCCTTCTCCAGGTCTCCCACTGGGGTGCAGGGCCCAAGCACTTGGGCCATCTTCTACTGCTTTCCTGGGCCACAGCAGAGAGCTGGATGGGAAGTAGAGCAGCCGGGACTCGAACCGGTGCCCATATGGGATGAGGGCACTGCAGGTGGTGGCTTTACCCGCTAAGCCACAGTGCCGGCCCCAAGCCCACTGTACTTTGGAGCTTGCCTCTTTAGGACTCCTATGGCTCTCTAAGAGAGGGAGTGGCCCTGGGGCTCAGCCTCTCCTTCTCTTGGGCAAGTCTCCAGAAGTGACCAGGGCAGCAGGGGTAGTGCCCATTCAGGTGTCCCTGGGCCTGCTGGCTTTGGACCAGAGGAGAAACACAGCTGTGAGAGAAGGCTGAGAGGAGAGAGCAAGGCCCAGGACTAAAGGCAGGCAACTGAAACCTTGCACGGACAACTGGACCCTCCCCGTCAGCCCTGGTCCCAGGGGCAGGGAGTCTTTCATGCCTGCAGCTGCCCCCTCTGGGACCATAGAGGCCTCCAGCTGGGAAGTGCGTGTGCTCCTCCTCAGCTGGCTGAAGCCCGGCCTTTGTCCACCCTGGTCTTCCTGTCCAAGCGGTTCCTGGCTTTGATGAGAAATTCTGTTATATCAAGGTGGGGAAGAACCTCAAACAGGAAGTGCAGCATGTTATCTTTCTCTTCTGCCCTAAGTGGTGGCTCACTATATGTCATGATGTGATCACCGATAAAAGATTAACAGGCTGTTATCAGGCACAGTGATAGAGAGGCCCTAATCTGACCACCTCTTCCCACCCACAAGCCATGGCTTCCCTGGGAACTGTACTCAGGAATTCTTAAGGAACGCTTGCCTGCAAGTCCTGCTCCAGGCTTCGGTGCTCCAGAAGAGAAGCAGTTATGTTTCAGAGCTTGAGCAAGTAGCAAGCTACTACCCAAGGGCACATCATTGTGCCTTTTTAGGAGACAACCATTGCTCTCCTGTCAGCCTTGAAGAGTGGCCCCCTCGCTTGCTCCCAAGTATCCTCTTAGGGAGGCTTCGAAGCCATAACACGGCCTCGTGGAGACAACGGAGAACACTTGTATGATTTTTTGAAAGATAGTGCGCAGGATGATGGGATGTGAAATTCGACTGCAAATGAGTACAAGTAACATGGCAGGCAAAGCAGCCCGTACATTCCTTTCAGAATACATGACGTTTTACAAGGTTCTGTGTGGGCCGCTCAACAGAAAGACCAGTCGGACCCAGAGTACAAAGACAAGATGCTCCCTGGAGCCTAGTCACGTGCCTTTCTTTTTTCTGAAAACACCCAATGGAACACAAGAGGATGGATCAGCAGACCTCCAAGGCATGCCTGATGCTATTGTGAAGACTCTACTACTCCTTGATCCGAAAAATGAGCGACACAGTCAGCCCCAGATCGACCATTAACATCATAATGAACACTAGCTCCTCAGTGCACCTCGAAAAAATGCCAGATGTCCTAAGGGGCTGAAAAATCCGACAGCAATCCGGAAACACTGGGATTTGGGGAGCAGGGACTTCTCTGAGCAGCACATGCACCCTTCAGCTAAATGAGTCAATGGTTTAAAAGAGGGAGACAAGGTAGAAATCAACAAAAAGCCAGATGGGATGAGAAAGGAGGTGCCTTCCTCCTGTTCCCAACTCCAGAGGCAACTTGTATGGTTAATTTTACTCCTCTGTGTGTAATAATAAACCAATATGTTCTCAAGTGTCACTTTCTCACTCCCAAGAGACTTGCCCAACTCAGCACTGTCTGGGGAGGTACTGGGGTGGGGGGAGGCGTGGGGGTTTCCAAGGAGTCAGTGAGAACACCCATGGGCAGAGGCCAACAAGTCCAGTACCTCCTGGAGTGTAAGAATAGGATCCTGATGGCTGTTTTGATATCAGGAAAGCTGCCAAGCACAGCCCTGAGTGAAAAACCCAGTGAAGAGGAAATGAATTTCCACATTGTTTTGAGGGATATTCGTTATATAAGTGAACAATTTCCCGATCATGAGGGCAGTTAAACATTGTGTGGGATTATGGAACTTCTGCCTTGGAAATTCCTATTAGCGTGGGCTGCCTTGAGCATGTTCCTATTAAAAGAAGACAAGACTAATCATTTTTCAAAATAGACAGTATGGTATCAAGGGCAAAGAGCTTAGGCTTTGGAGCCAAATAAACTCAGTTTTTTTTTTTAAGATTTATTAATTTGAAAGTCAGAGTTTATTAAAGAAAGAGAGAGATCTTCTATCCACTGGTTCACTCCACAAATGGCTGCAATGACTGGGCCTGGGCCAGGCCAAAGCCAGGAGCTAGGCCTGTCTTCTAGGTCTCCCACATGGGTGCTAGGACTCAAGGACTTGGGCCATCTTCTACTGCTTTCCCAGGCCACAGCAGAGACCTGGATTGGAAATGGAGCAGCCGGGACTAGAACCGGCTCCCATATGGGATGCTGGCATTGCACCACTATGCCACAGCGCTGGCCCCCTGGGTTTGAATTTTGTCTGTACCTTCCCTAATTGGGTGACCTTGGGAAAGGCACTTTAATTCTCCACAGTTTATTTTCCTCATCTATAAAATGGGCATGATATAAAAGGTTAAATGTTATTATCTCAGCATTATCATTGACCTAAATGGTACTGTCAGTCATACCAAAATGTGTCTTTGGGGTATGGAGGAAGATAACAAAGTGTATGTGTGTGTGTGTGTGTGTGTGTGTGTGTGTGACTACAGATCTGAATCTATACTAGCAGAGGAATAGTCTTTAAAAATATTTTTTAAAAATTTATTTGAAAGTCAATTACAGAAAGAGGGAGGGAGGGAGGGAGGGAGGGAGAGAACAAGAGAGCGAGCACTTCCATCTGCTGGTTCACTTCCCAAATGGCCACAGTGGCCCAGCCAAAGCCAGGGTCCAGGAGCTTCTTCTGGATGCAAGAGCCCAAACATTTGGGCCATTCTCCACTGTTTTCTCAGGCACATTAGTAGAGCGCTGGATTGCAAGTGGAGTAGCCGGACTCGAACTGGCACCCAAATGGGATGCCGGTGCTGCAGATGGCAGGTTAATCTGCTACACCACAGCACTGGCCCCCAGGAATGGTCTAAAAACTTTTCAAGATTCTTTCCCAAAGTCTGAAAACTGTGAACATCTTGGATAGCCTTCTTTATTTGTTGGCTACTATTAACAGAACCCCGGGGAAAAGTAGACTTGAGAAGCTGGAGAGGAAAGAGATCTGATAGCCCTTTTACCTTCGCCCAGATCTGTAAAAATGTGGGTGGAACAGAACTATGATTACACGGGCCCCGCTGCTACATAAAAGCTTAGTCCCGGGGAACTGCAAACTGCGGTTAACTTCCCAAATGTGGGACAGTTGGGGAGATTTCAACAGCCACTTTCCTACTTCATAGCCTGCAAAAGCTCTGGGGTTGAGTGAATTTAGTATAGCCTCCCTCTGGCATTTGCAAGCCTTTGGGCCACTCTCTTCCTATGCTCCAGCTTGGTAAGCCATCCTTTCTCAAACTCTCAGGCATGCCTGTGTTCCCCATTGGCTCGCAGTCTCATGACTTTGCTTAGACAATGCCCCCACCTCTAGAAAACCTTTCCCACATACCTCTACAATTCCAGCCCTTCCAGGTTCCCAGGGCCCATCTGGAAGACCAGACATCTTGGGTTCACTGTCTTAGTCCCCTACCTCAAGTTATGTTGCCTACCCAAGGACATGGAAAGCACCAAAAATAGTTACAGTATTTTATCTAAAAGGGGGTTGGAGATTTCGGGCAATTCATGTCAAGACTGGGTTTAGGGATGAAGGCAAGTAACAGATTTCTTCAGCAGATGTTGTCTTCTGTTAGAAAATGAATGCTTTTATGTCTCAATGACTAGAGCTTTCACATACCCAATATTATCTAAAGTTTATTATCCAAACATGCGCCCTGACTTTGGATTCAAAATGTCTGGTTCCTGATTCCCTGCCTATTATAAACTGTGAGTTAAGGATGTCCTTGTCATGGAGTTTAAGTCACTGTTTTGGGGAAATGTGGCTTGGCTTAGGCAGAGCTCAGTCAGCATTCCTGGGAAGACCTCAGTGCTTCATTCCTAATATGGTACTACCAAAGGGGTTGGAATTTATAGAATTCCGCTTGTTCTCCACCCCATGCCATATCTGAGTGTGTATGTCTCACTCTCTGTAACTCTGCATTTCAAATTAAAAAATAAAAAAAGGAGGGGGCATCATTATAGGCAGGTTAAGCTGCCACCTGTGATGCTGGCATCCCATGTGAACACCACTTGGAGTCCTGGCTGCTCCACTTCTGATCCAGCTCCCTGTAAATGCACCTGGGAATGCAACAGAAAATGGTCCAAGCCCTTGGGCCCCTGCTACCCACAGGAGAGATCTAGATGGAGTTCCAAGCTCCAGCTTCAGTTTGGCCCAGCCCTGGCCACAAAGCCATTTGGGAGTGAACCAGTGGATGGAAGCTCCCTCTCTCGCTCGCTCTCTCCCTCTGTGTGTGTGACTCTTTCAAATTAAAAACAATGAAAAAAAATAATTCTGAACAACATTCTATCTAGAGACTGCCCTTGGGAACTAAGAGCCTAACCAATGTTAGCCCAGGTAACTGGAAATCACTGAACATGGGCAAGCAAATCTTCCTGTCTGCTGAGACCACAAGGTCTGGCCTAGCCCTCAGCCAGATGCCCATTTGTTCATCCAACAAATACATACTGACCTAACATGTGCCCAGAATTGATTTCCTTGAAACGTGTTCTGTCAGTTCTTGGCCCGTAGATAACTCTTTCTTCTTCTCTTGAAATAAGCTATCACCACTCTTGAAGAAGGTGAGAGAAGCCTCCTCAGAATTTCTTTTCTCCTTTTAGTTTTGCTCTCAAGATCTGCTTATATTCTGTAGTTCTCAGTATTTAAAAATTACATGCTAAGGAGCCTCCTTTGGATATAATTCTGACCGTTTGTTGTAAAGAACACCCATGTATATTTCCTCCTTTGGTAGCCTGAACTCCAACTCACAATGAACACCCCCAGTAACCTGCAGCACTGAGTGCCTCAGTCTTGTATTTTCACAGTTTAATATCCAGGATTCTTACCAACCTTCCCCACACTGTTTTTACCCAACCCTTTCTATCAACATGACATTGTTTTGAGCCCTTGAGAGAGATGGAGATATGAACAAAACACACTTCCCATCATTCATTCATTTATTTATTAACAATCATTTATTATTATATCCCAGTTACCACAATAAGCTCTAGGATACAGTGGTTGGCAAAATAAAAAAAAAGCCATGGCTTTTTTCTTTATGGAATTTACTGAGGGAGGCAAACAGGGACCATGTATATTATGTTCAGTATTATATATCACACAGCACACAGTAGGTATCCAATGAACATGTCTCGCACGAGTGAAAGTAAATGACCAAATATGTTAAATTGGGAGAAGCGCCATGAATTTTAAAAAATGACCCAGAAAACAGTGAGAGAGTAATAGGGTAGGCAGAAAAAAAATGGCTGCTCAGACAGGCCTGAGGAAGTGGCACTTATACCAAGGGCTGAAGGATGAGGAATAGCCAGCCACACCAAGTCCGGAGACAGGAGCATTGCAAGTGGGTAAAGGCTCTGAGGTAAAGAACGTGCCATGCGTCCGTGGGAAGACTACAGTGAGCCAAACAGTGGCAGATCATCAAGGGTTGCATGAGACAATGTAGACGTAGACAGGGGTTTTGTAGGACATTCTACGGAGTTTGGATTTTGTTCCAAGAACAATGAGAAGTCATTTAATGATTTTAAGCAGAGGCACTGCATGGCTTGGTTTATATTTAAAAACAGGCCCTCTGTCCCTAGTGATGAGACAATTGTGGGAACTGGAGTGGAAACACGGACTCTAGTCAGCAGCTGTAACCATCCATGGGAGAGGACTGCAGTTTGGACTAAGGTGGCTGCGGTAAAAGTGAGTAGAGTGAAGATATACTTTGGAGTGAGAACTGACAGACTTGTTGACAGACTGCATGTGGGGGATGGGAGGATGACTTCCAGGGTTCTCGCTTAAGCAACTGGGTGGGTGGAGGTGCCATTTTCTAAGAAGAGGAAAACTGGCAGGGAGAAACAGTCCTGGGGTATGTCACTGTTTATTTTTAACATGTTTTATTTGAAGTATATGTGAGTGTAAATGTCAAGTAGGCAGTCAAATATTTGAATCTGAAGCTTTCTAATAGGGAAGACGGGATAAGGAAGTTTGTGATGAGACCCTCACAAATGACATAAAACTGAAATGTTCCAAGAAAAATGCCATGCCTAACTGGGTTAATCCAAGGAATTTGCAGGACAAAAAAAAGTTGGCACTTGTGCCAAGGGAAAGATGATGAGGGAGAACATTCCAGGCTAAGGGGATGGAATAGCCAAATGGGAAACGAGAAAATCTTAAGGCATGCTCAGAAACTGAAAAGCAGTTCACTTGGGATGAAACGTGGTTTGTGTGTGCAATATTGCAAGGTGAGTCTAAAGAAAGGGTAGAGGCCAGACCGTACAGGGCTTTCAGCAGCATACTAATTAATGTGTATGGCATTCCGCAGGCAGTTGGGAACACTAGCAGAGGCATGAGCTGATGAAGTTTCTAAAAGCAATTTAATAATATTGTGTAGGGTAGGCTGAGGAATGGGAAGAGGAAGCAAACAAGGCCAGTGAATCTGTTTCAATTATCAAGGCATGAAATAATAAGGACCTCTGCTGACCATGGAAATGGAAAGTTAAAGGCCAATCATTAGAGATTCGAAAAGATATGCTAACCCATCAGGAAAGCCAGGAGGAGGCACCCACTTTTTCCTTCAACGCCTTTTGCCTTCACACTAGACCATAAACTCTGGAAAGGCTGGGAGAGCACTCCCCAACCTCTCCACAGTGACACTCAATCAGTAGTTAAAGGGATCCCAGGCTGGAACAGTTTCTTAATAAGTAAGCGACAAAGAAGCTGCTCTGCTATTGAAGTGAATGGACTCATGGGGTAACTGGCTGGATAAGCAGTGTGGAGTCAGAACCATGGCCCAGTGGATGGGCTGAGAGAAAGCACTAGTAAAAGATGAGTTAGAACTTTCTCACCTATTTTTTCCCTTTGAAAGCCCAATTGCCAACCTTCCTTCCTTCTTCGTCCCCTTGCTCACCCAGCAAATAACAGAGCTTGATTCTTCAATGCTGTTTTTTCTTTATCCATCAGACTCCTATCCATATTATCTAGATCTGTGCAAAACCCCATCCCTTTCCAGCCTCCACGTCAAGAACAGTATCACTGCAAGAAAGATTGAATGTGCTGCTCTCCCTTCAGTCATATTTAGACAACTGGGGCCTTGACTTTGGTAATCCAAAGGGGCAGAGGAGATCTTTAAACACTGATTCTAGGGCTGAAGCCTGGTGATGGCTTCCGCTGGTTTCCTGCAGTCTCACTGGAATATCTACCACGGGCCTCCTTTCAAAGGAGGCAAAAATCGCTTGCAAAGAGTTTTCTGAAGTAACTCTGCACAGGCGAAATAGAATAAAAATCCAAAACATTTCCTTTAGATTAGCTAATCTTTTTTCACTGTTTGATCCCAAGTTCCTTTGATTGTTTCTCCTCTACATCCTATTTTTCACTGTTGATTTATTTTATGTGTTCATTGTTCAACATCTTCTGAAGAGTACCTTGAACTCTTTCAGAGTGTGTGCTTTATAAATACAATAAAGCCATTAATTAATACAATGCATCCTTTTACAAAAGAGTATGAGTTTTATTATTTCTGGTACTATGAGGACTACCCCTCATCCTACCTTAGCCTGAAGAGCAGGCAGGTGTAATTTTGAGGGGCACCAGGAAATCTCCCTGCTCGAAAATACTTCCCCCACTACCTACAAGTCCACAACTTGATGATATATTCGAGGGTTTTTTCAAAATTTACATTGACCCATCGTTTTTTTAACCCATCACTTCTAACAGAGACACTTGTTTCACATCTTGTGATTTTTGTGCATTTATATTGTTCTTCCAGAGGTAATGCTAAATTTAACATAAATTATAATATCATAATTTCACAGTCTCTCATTTGATATCCAAATTCAAGCTTACTTGCTCTTTTTTTTAAAGAATTTATTTTTTTCCAGGAAGAATAACAAGTTTATTATAGAAAATTTGAAAAAGGCAGGAAGATAGGAAGAAGAAAAAAAATCAACCATAGTCCTACAACCTAAAGAACCACTGTTCATCAGCAGTGTGGTCATGCTCCTTCTTTAAATCTTAGTGTAGGTCCCATTTCTGGTGTGATACCTGCCTTGAACTTCCTCCTTCAGATCTCCATCCCACCCCCCACCCAACTCTTCTATGTCAGGTTTGTACCTCTCACTTGAAGACATCAAATACTTCTGTGTATAGTTAGGCAACCTGGTATATGTCTGGTGTCTCCAACTAGATTATTAGATCCTTGCAGGTTGAAACCATGACTTCTATTTCTCAGCTTATCCCCAAACACCTGGTACATTGGACCCAGTATTTGCCAACTGATTTAACCTAAAAAAATACAAACTATTTCAGAAAGAATATTAAATAGGCTGAGTATCTGGGTCATGAATAGTAAATCTTTCATGTCACCTAGCTTGGTGACTTGCTTTTCTGTTTCTTGACTCTTGAAATCCTACTTAATTGGCATCTTTCTCCACACCAAAACTGAGTAAGAAGCAGATTGATTAAGAGTCAGGATTTACTCAAAGATTCTCTACATAAGGCATACAAGTGATAGAGAGAGAAAGACAGAGGCATCGGGGAGAGAGGGAAAGGAGAAGAGAAGAAAGGAAGGGTAGAGAAGATAGAAGAGTATATAGAGTATACAGACTGAAATGAGTAGAGGAGAGAGAGAGAGAGAGAGAGAGAGAGAGAGAGAGTCTGGTGCTCAATCCAGTATGTGATTTGCCTCCAGCACTGTGTACAGGATCCCATCCACTTGTTCTGAGTCATACCCGATCTCACGAAGCTCCAAGTGAGGGAGGACAGAAGTAAGGAGATAGCTGACGTGGATACGCAGCCGCGTAAGCTTTGCCAAAGCCCTGTATGATGGAGTGAGGGGCAGAAGAGATGACATGAAGTCATTAGCCAACAGAATAAAATGAAGCCCCTTCAAAATGGGCCTACATTTCTCAACAATTATGTTTCCATTAGCTAGAAAGAAAGAAGAAAGCACAACGCCACCAGGCACGGGGAAACTGGCTGAGGTTTTCTAAGGAGTAATTACTCAATCCCTGGTGGCCTGTGAATTAAGGCTTTTTCCCTTGTCTATGACCACTAACTGGGGGTCCTAAGGGATGCTCCCCATTAGCACTCTCAAGTTGATAACTAAACCCTAGTAATTAACCTGTCCAGGTCATCTCCCTCTGGGGTCCGGTAGGAGACCTGAGCCTTCTGCAACACTTCCAGGTGTGTCTCTGTCTCCTTCAGTTTCTCTTTTAATTCTTGTTTTTCCTCTTTGGTTCTTTCCAGTTCAGCTTTCAGAATCTGGAACTCAGCTTGACGATAACCCATGTGTTTCTTGCTCCAGTACAAGCCTTCGGACTCCTGGGTGCTGTAGGTCACCAACTCATGTTGAACTTTCTTGAATTCAGAATGCCAGTGGTTTCTCTCCTGTTCCAGCTCCTCCACCTGCAATACAAGAAAACAGAAATTCAATGACCCCCACATACTACTGAAAGCCAAAGAGTACCAAAACTGGTTACTAAAATATTCACCCTGGGATTCCACTGTACCTATTCCTCAACTTACAGACCCTTTCAATGCCCAAATAGGAGAAGGAAGCCCATTAAGATTCATGGACTCTGAATGATTCAAGGGCAGATTTTGTTTAAAGGCATCAGACCATGAAATGGTCAGTGCACCAATGTCCCCATCCCTTGGTTGCAATGATCTCATTTCTAGTGGTAAAGTGTTACCCGAACCTTTTGCTGGAACAAATTCCTTTCGGCCAAAACACGTTCCAGTTTTTCTGTGGTTCTCTTCAACTCTTCCAGCTCTCTTTGGTTCTTCATCTTTGGCGTATGACAACCTCCACTCTCCTCATAGCCTCTTCCTTTCTCCCCGGTGGCTGCAGCAGGAATCGCAGCCGAGGTCAAAGAAGAGTAAGGCACTGGGTTCCAGGACTCAGCTGCTTTTCTTCTCTCAGCAAGCTCCTCTCTGTTAAAAGGGATCAACTGAATGGGAGCCCCTGAATCTCTAACACCTTTGGCAACACCGACAACAGCTACAAAAGGTCCCTTGTTCACTTCTTCTTTGTTCAGGTTTGTGCTACCTCGGTTAGATTCTTCTGCTACCAGTCTTGGCATCTGATCTAATTCTTCAGGAAGCAGGGACCCCTGACGTTGGTCTTGGGCTCCTGGAAACAGAACTGAAACATCCCTACTCTGGCCTGTATTCTTGCTTGCTTCTGGGTATTCTGGATAAAGGCATGGTGGTGTACTTCTCTCAGAACTGGACTTATCATGGGTGTTCTCGCCTTCTGGGTAGGCAACAGCTGCCTCCACCCTCCTGTAAGAGCCAGGCATGGAATAATCCAGAGGAGGTGTTGTTGTCTCATTCTGGAGCCTTCTTCGTTTCTCCACAGGCTCCTCGCCTAGTATCCATTTGTACTTACTGCAATAAGAGAAAATTTCTCTGTAAGCTGTCAAAAATATATGCTAAGTACAGTCTTATCTTATGGAGCCCCTCCTCAATGTTCCTATCAAAATCGCCTCTAGATGCTACCCCAAAATCATTTCAGGTTCAGAATGCAACTTTACATCCCAAGTCTTACCCAGTTACCTTCACACATGCAACTGGAAAATTAAGAAAGACACGAAGCTGAACAGGGTGAAGGGTCATATCAGGACATAACACGGTTAGGCTGACCTTGGTAAGAATTCTAATAATAGGACTGAAACAAGCCTGATTTCTAAATGCAAGTAAAGGAAGACAAACAAAAAAAATACATGCAAAAATTCCCTAACTTGCAACTGGAATAAAATGGTCATAAAAAGCCTAGTGGAGTCTGCAGAGAACAGAGCCAGCTCGTTAACTTTAAAGCATCACAAAAGCCTTTGACTATCAAAGACTTATGCCCATTTGTTATATTGCCAACAGAACACAATACAATTCCTTTGCAAGCTAACTGGATTGTGCCTATTGCCCATTATTCACTTGTAAAAGTTAATTAAAACATAGGGCCCTAGTCAGAAACAAAGGAAGCAAATCAACCAATATAAGTTATTTCCCCATTGTGACAAATAACTCTCCTCAGTCAGGGACAAACAGTCACTCCTTCAGTTCCTCAGAAAGGCTTAGGATGATGGCTTTAAATCACCTTCCACTTCTGATTGTGATATGAGAACAATTCCAAAAGTTCATAGAAATGGAATGAAAACACGTTAAATTGTACAAAAACATTTTGAAATTCATGCCCAATGTTTTTCACAATATGCATTTTCTGTGAACTCTCTGAAAACCTTGCTTATGTATGATCTCAAAAATTTCTGCACCAGAATAAACATTTCTTTTAATTCCAGTTTCAATGAATTTTTGGAAGTACCATCTCATGCACTAATGGTCAAAGGAACTAACAAAATAAAAAGCATCAGAGAAATTCAAAGGCTAAACTTGTAGCAGGATGGGAACCCCAGTGATACCTATATAACTATTCTGTCTTCTCCCTAGATAACCAAGAAATTGGAAGATGAAAATCAACTTATCAATGAGAGAATCAGGCATAATAATAGCCACCTCATAGTATTTCAAGGCTGCCCAGATTTCTGTGCCATTTCTGCAAACATGTATAAGACCCCTCAAACTTTAGCTTCTTACAATGTCCCATATGTTCTTCAGAAATAAAACTGCTATGCTATCGTAATAGATGTTGTATTAGCTGTAGAGGAAAAGCAAAAGGACTTAGGGGCTATGTAAGAACAAAGGTACCTATTTTTTAACATGTGTAAGGAGTACCACAGATGGTCTATGGAGCTGTGGTACTGAGGAAGATAGTAAAACAATCAGCTGGCAGGCATGAAAGAAAGGTATACATAATTCTAGACAGCAACAACAAAGTTTTATGAAAGGCCATTAAAAGTCATACTATTGCCCTTATCTTCATTTTCCCACTTCTAGGCGCTTACTCCTTAATTATCCTCTCTCCTGTCCCTACATTTCTTTGGCAGTCTCTTAGACCCTCTTGGCTGCAGCATCTGGGCAACAGCTCCAACATTCTTCCAAGACCTGACCACCCCCTAGTACTGAATTTCCAACTGCCTGTCATACATGTCTCTCTGGGGGAGTGGTCCCCTCTAGTATGTCAAACTTGGTATATATAAAACCGAGTTTCATTTTCTTTTTTTCATATTTTTAAAGATTTAGTTATGGCTGGCATTGTGGCATAGCGGGTTCAGCCACCATCTGCCACACTGGTACCTATAGGCACCTATTCAAGTCCTGGTTGCTCCAGCTCCCTGCTGATGTGCCTGGGAAAGCAGTGGAGGATGGCCCAAGTGCTTTGGCCCCACACCCATGTGAGAGACCTCGAAGAGGAGCTCCTGGCTTTGGATTGGCCCAGCTCTGGATTGAAAACCTCTCCTTCTCCTGTAATTCTTTCAAATCTTTTTTTTTTTTTAAAGATTTATTTTTTATTTGGAAGGCAGAGTTGAAAGAGAGAGACCTTCCATCTGCTAATTCATTCCCCAAATGGCTGCAATGGCAAGGGCTGGGCCAGGCTGAAGCCCAGAAGCCCAGAGCTTCTTCTGGGTCTCCCATATGGGTGCAGGGGCCCCAAACACTTGCGCCACCTTCTACTGCTTTCCCAGGTGCATCAGCAGAGAGCTGGATTGGAAGTGGAGCAGCTGGGACTTGAACTGGCACCTGTATGGGAAGTCGGCACTGCAGACAGCAGCTTTATCCACTACACCACAGCGTTGGCCCCTTGTGTATTGTCTTTTCTAATTCTCCCACTAACCCTGAGATAGGTGGTGTTATTAGTGCCATTGTCAAATTTAAGAGGATGTTCAGGAAGAGGTTAAAGTAACTTTCTCAAAGTGGCTAGAAAGCACTAGGGCTGGGACATAATTTGGCCCTAGCTTTATCTCCTATTAATTTCTTCATCAACATCAGCTAAACTGAATGCCCTGTGTTCTATCATGCTGCTCCCGTTGATTGGGATGTGTGTGCGTGTGCGTACGTGTTCAGATATCTTACCGAAGTACAAAGGTACAGGCTTTTTGATAGAAGGGAGCTCATTTAACTGCTCTATGGGGGTGAGGGAACAAAACTCTTGCCTAAGTGGCACTCAAAAAGGAACAATCATGTGAACGAGGGAAAAATAAGTGGACTTTACTTACTGGGCCTACACTTCTCCAGAAAGTCTGGCTCCTCCTTCTAGGAATGAGTTTCATACTACACCTGTGTTCAGGATTTAGTATACTAATTAAGCTTTATTCTTTTCTAATTTCTTCTCTAAGTACATAGTTTCTTCTCATTTTCTTTTCTCTTTTTGACACATTCCCCCACTGTCTGTTGCTTTATAGGTACATTTTGGGTTATTTTCTAAGTATTTTATATTTTATGACAAAGATACACTTATACCATCCTTTTGCTCTTTCAAAATGCTTTGCGAGAGATTCCTATATTTAACCATCATCAGCTTAGTAGTTTGTTAACAAAGACAGAGAATGCTATATTCAAATTAGGTTCTTTTCTCTTCTTTACTCACTCATTTCACAGATGTTTCCTACCATGTTTTAGGCATTCTAGTAGGCGAGCATAAGAACCTAAAACCAGGGCCCCTTACATATAAATATAAATATAAGTATAAATATAAATATAAATATATATATACATATATATGACACAGAGAGAGAGAGATCAAGAGAAGCAGGAGGAAGGGAGAGGGAGGAGGGAGGGAGAGAGAAAGAGAGAGAGAGAGAGAAAGAGAGAGAGAGAGAGAGAAAGAGAGAGAGAGAGAGAGGCAGGCAGAGGCTTCCCCCATCTGCTGGTTCACTCCCCAAATGCCCACAACAGCTGGGGCTGGATCAGGCCAAAGCCAAAAGCCAAGAACTTGATCCAAGCATCCCAACTAGGTGGCAGAGACCCAATTATTTGGTCCATCACTGCTAGCTCCCAGTCTGCATTAGCCAGCAGCTGAAGTCAGGAGCTAGAGCTAAGACAGAACACAGGCATTGTAACTAGTGTTCAAACCAGGAGGCTAACACCAACCTCAAACCATCACTCCTTTACAGTGTTTACGTATTCCTTTCCAGATGATATATTCCAAAAACAGTCTGTTGAGATATAAATGATATAAATCCATTCTATAAAGTATACAATTCAATGTTCTGGGTATTCAGAGTTGTGTAGCTGACTATCACCAAAATGTATAGAAAATTTGCATCCTCCCAAAAGAAATCTCTCACTCATTACCAGACATCTATCATACCCCTAACCTATCTCTAGTCAACCACTAATCTACTTTCTAACTTTCTACCCCTATAGGTTTGCCTATTCTTGGCGCTTTATATATACTGAATCATAAAATAAATGTTTCTCTTTTTTTGTAATGGGCTTCTTTCACTTAACATCATGTTTTCAAGGTTCATCCAAGCTGAGGCATGTATCACGATTCCATTCCTTTTTACAACTGGATAAGAATCTGCTGTACAGATACTCCACTTTTCTTTATCCATTCATCAGCTGACAGGCACTGAGGTTGCTTCCACGTTTTTGGCTACTGTGAACAATTCTTCTATGAACGTTTATGTAGAAGTTTTTGTGTGAATATGTTTTCAATTTTCTTGTACTATATACTTAGGAGTAGAATAACTGGGCTATACAGCAAGTTTATGTTGAACACTTTGTGGAACTGTCAGATTGTTTTCCAAAGCAGGTGCAACATTTTTCATTCACATCTCAATACATGAGGGCTTCAATTTTGCCAAATCCTCACTAATATTTGTCATTATCCATCTATTGGATTCGAGCCATCCTAGGAGGTGTGAAATAGCAGCTCAGTGTGGCTTTGACTTGCAATTCCTCTGTAGCTAGTGATGTAGAGCATCTTTTCAGGTGTTTACTGGTCATCTGTATATTTTCTGTGGAAAAATGTCTATGGAAAGTCTTTGCCCGTTTTAATTGGATTACTTTTTTATTAGTGAGTTGTAATAGTTTATATATTTTCTGGATATCTAGTCCTTATCAGATGTAGTAAGTTGTTTTCCCACTCTGAGCCATCTTTTCACTTTCTTGATGGAGTCCTTTATAACTGAAAAAGTTCTTAAGTTTTATTCACGCCTTTTTCACTGTTTCACTGTCCCTTGAGATTTTGGTGTCATATCTAGGAAATTATAGTCTAATCCAGTTGTGATGTCTTTATCCCATGTTTATATCTAAAAGTTTTAATTCTTACATTTAGATCTGTAAATCATTTTGAGTTAATTTTTGTGTATACTGTGAGACAGGGATCCAATGTCATTTTTTTTGACAGGCAGATAAGCAGTTGTCCTAGTATCATTTTTTTCAAGACTGTTCTTCCCCCCACTGAACTGCCTTGGCATCTTTGTCAAAAATCCAATGACCAGAAATATAAGGTTTATTTCTTGACTGTTCCATTGATGTATATGTCT